GACAAGTTAAACTTGAAATTAAAATAACCGTAATGGCGACTGGCCATTCTGTCAATATTTTGAGATCTTATGATGTAGATATGGGTGGAAGATTTTTAAGTCTAATTTCTGTGGCTCAGAAGAATTTAAATCAAAGCCATCATCTTATCTGTCTTAGTTTAAGGATTATGTGCTATTTTTAATGTTCATGTGTACTTTTTTCAAAAAGCCATTTGAAACTAAAAGTCTTAACAATTTCTGAAACTTAATTGGTAAAAATGTAAAGCACTTTAATGCAATTTTTCCCGTGATCTGTACAAGAGTTTTTTTTTTTTTTTTTTAACAGATGGTTCAAATGGACAAAGCAATGAAAACAAAAATTAAAAGCAGATCTTGAAGGAAAATAACTGGGTTCTCAGAAATCCTATAGATGATGGCAGGACTGGATGTAAAGCAGCAGTTTCTTTTGTGTCCTGGTTTGGAGAGAACAGAAATTTATTAGGTGATCCTCTACCAGAGGAGGGGGAACTGCCTCTTGGTGGGAACTAACTATTCGTTTAGAACTCCAGCCAACTTCAACAATTTAAAAATCTCCATGCTTGTAGGGCAATTCTTTCCAGGTGCTATGTATGTAGTATTGTGAGGCTAATAGATATTCTCCGAGACATAGGAACGGCTAAGTAGGAAATGGGTATTTAGGTGATGAGAATGAGCTACAGTGTTCCCACCTTCACAGCCACTTGGAAAAACAACAATAAACAGCCCACGGCCTGTGAAGCTTTTTGTTTGTTTTGTTTTCAATATAAAACTCTGACTTCCTTGGATCAATGAAGTGAGCGGTGGGAAACAGACAAGAAAGCTTTACAACCTGGAATTTATAATCATTCAGTGGACGCGTGTGAAGTAAAATCTAAACTAACGCTAGAAAGTAGCATCGTTCAACCAGGCTTCAAAATGTTATCTTAAACTTTAGGGAAAGTTAACGCTGATTTCTCTCCCAGACAATTCTAGGGAGCGGGTAGTGAGGAGGAGGGGTAGAGGAGGTATGGTGGGACTCTGGGAAACTTGTGGCGTGGAGGACCTCAAAGTGTCACCGGGGGCTACAAGGAGCCAGGCGCGCGGGAGGGGACAGAGTTAACGCCGCGGGAGAAGGCAGGAGCGCAGCCTGGCCGCGGCGGCGCAGAGCCTGGGAGCGAAGTGCAGGACACAGAGGGTGGGGGCAGAAGGGTAGATGGAAGAAGGGGCGGGGTGGCGCGGGGTGGCGCGGGGTGGGAGCGCGGAGGCAGGAGGAGGGTCTCGGAGCCCGGGCCGGATCTGCGAGCTCTCTGAGCCTGCGTCCGCCGAGGGGGTGGGTTTCCCCGGCCCGGCCCGGCCCGGCCCGAGCGGTGGCTGAGCGCGGCTGGCTCACAGCGCAGACGACTGTCAAGAGAGTAGGAGCGCGGAGCTGCCGGAGCTGCCGGAAGTGTCTGCGCGCCGCGAGGGAACTTTCCTGCTGCGGCCGCGGCCCGTAGCTCCGCCGCCTCCTGCTCGCGGCGACTATGCGCCGCGATGACAACACCCTGAACGGCCCTGTGCCGCGGCCCACCCCCGGGGGCTGCGC